TAAGACTACATTTTCAGAAGTATGTTGGTTTAGAGATTATTTCTAGTTGGATTTCCTAAAGACATTTTGTAAATAATACTACTTCGAAAGAGTTATCATTTCCCTGTTCTCAGCCCCTGAAACATAAATACTTCAAAATAATTCTATTTGAGATAGACTATAAAGATAGAGATACTAAGCTTAATTTTGTTTTTTTTTTTCCCCCGGAGGATCAAAATAATCTCAAAACATATATTAACTATTCTTACTACTCTCCTCCAATTTCTAGTTTACAATCTCTGACAGCTTTGAATTGTGAGAATATCCAAGAGTATAAGAAAATTCTTTCTCCTTTGCTTTTCTTTCTGATAATAAGAATATCTGAAGTTACTGCTTCTCCTATTAAATAGTGCCAACATAATTTATGAATACTAAAAAAGTTCTTGCTTGTTTCTGTTAAACTTGTTCATTTCTGTTAAAATGGAGACATTTTTGTCAGTGGAAAAAATAACATGTGAAAGGAAGAATTTTCTCACTGTGTTTTTGGTGACAATATAAACTCCCCTCAGCCTTGATTTCATTCACCATTTAACAACTTCTCTTACTCTCTTCTTTGTTTCAACTTTCTTGTGTTATTTAATGAAAGTACTATCCTTATTGCTATGACCTCTTGATATGTCAAAGACTAGGCCCTGTCACACACAGATGCACCAATGCTGTTAGCAATCTAAGCAGCTGTGAGGTTCCCTATACTACTGCCTGGAATGTGAAAAGTGAACTAGACCGTTGTCATCAAATTAGCAGGACCACAATTTATCTGGGATGTTGTTCACTGCTACTGGTTGTGTGTGGAATTCGTCTCAACCGGGCAATTAAAAGTAAACGTTTCTTAATAAAATATGCCTTTGTCCCCCAGTAAGTAGTTTTACTTTCTGACAACATTAAATGGAAAATTACAGAAGTAAACAGTTCAAATAGTTCATTAAGTCGTTTTTATTACAGTATATCATTATTATAGCTCTATGTGATTACTAATTGTTGTTAACCTCTTAATATGCCTTATTAATATATTAAATGTTAGCACAGTACTGCATGTGAAAAAATATAGTATATCTAGGATGTGTTATTGTTTGTACATTTGGGTATCCACACCGGGTCTTGGAAGCTACCACCACTGGTAACAGACATAAATATGTGTACAACTGTAGTCTTACACCTTCTGAAGCTTAGAAGACAAATCTCATCCATCAGTGTATTAATCAGCTTTCCTGTCACCAGGACAAATTACCTGATACCTAAAGGAGGTGAAGTTTCTTTGGCTTATAGTTTCAGAGGGTTTATTCCCTGCTCAGCTGGCTCCAGGGCAAAAACATCCTGGGGAAGGATGAAACAGCAAAATCCTTTAGCTCTTGGCTTCTAAGAAGCAGGGCAGGGAAAGAATGCCTGGGGGCAAGGGGTCAGGGACTCTACAGAGTACCCAGCATCCCACCTCCTTGGCTCACCCAGAAATCTCAGCTGTATGCTTTCTTTCTTCCCTATGTAGCTCTGAAGCCAATCAAGTGGGCACAATTAAGCTTAACGACAAGAAGTGTGTGCTGTCATCTTATTTAACCTCTTTAACTTAGGCTAAAGTGAAGGTTTTGTGGGAAAGCCAAGAATATTTTATTCCTAAATAGATAATGGCCCAACAGTATAGACAACAAATAGAAACTGGTTTCCAGTTATAGGTTAATAATGCAATAATGGGAATAATGGGCTCCACTGATGTGTTAGACAGCTTTCTTTCACTATAACAAGTCCTTGAGATAAATCAGCTTCATTTGGGCTCATGGTTTTAGAAGTTTCAGCCTCTGACTGATTGCTGTGAGCTTGTGACAGCACAGGATATTGTGGTGGGAGTACCTGGCAGGGGACACTTGGATTAAAGCAGGAATGTTCATCCCATGATCCTCAGCAAGGCCACACGTCCAGTGACCTGGGTTCTGTCTCTTAAAGGTCTCCATCAGCTTTCAGTAGTGGCAAGCTGAGGACCAACTATTCAGACCTTTGGAGGACATTTATCATGTAAATAGATATAGATAGATTTAGATAGATATAGACAAATATAGAGGATATAGATACAGATACAGATCAGTAGTGAATCAAAGTATTTTTGTAAAGTACTCAGCCATTGGTTCAAGGCAATAGCTAGCTCTAGGATAGAAACACTATCCATGGTAATTAAGTTGTTTAAACAATCATACAACTTCAAAAGGTTCATCACTTACTTGCCTACAGGTAGTACACATAGAAGAAGTAAGTAATAAAATAGGCAATCCCAAAGTCCACTGGTTTTGGAGTTCACACCCTGTTTCCCTTACCCTCATCCCTAAGGAGGTGAGTGAATTCATAACCCAATTCCTTAGCGATTCTGGTAATCAACATATTTAACTTTAATGGTGGAGTAAGGGGCAATGGTGATAGACTAAAACACTGAGGATGTGCTTGTTGCGGACTAGATAGACACTCAGAAGTTGGTAGCTATCTTACTAAGAGTGAATAATTATAGATATTCATTTGGCTTCCTATAGTGCTGCCTACATTCATATAGAAAAACCAAGCACTGCTCTGTGTTGCTGTGAGCGTTGCTCTCAGGTCCAAGCGAACTGGGTGCCCTGGTCTAATGCCAACTTGAATTGTTGACACTAGAAACTCCAGTCACGCAATGGCTCCACAGGTGACCATGACCTTCGTCAGCTGCTGTCTTCATGGTGAGTGTCAGCATGGCTTCCCACATCTGGGAGGAATCCACCTTTGTAGATTAGATCCTATTTTCTCTGAATTTCTGGAACTAGAGATGAAACCCAGGCGTGCTCTACCGCTGAGCTCCACTCCCAGCTGTTCTTAGTTTTTCTGATTGGTTGTTTCTTTTGTTTTGTTTTGAGACAGGATCTCACTAAGTTTGCCAGGCTGGCCATGAACTTGCCACCCACCTGCCACAGCCTCCCAGTTCGCTAGGATTACAGGCGGAAGCCACCACACCCAGCTGTATTCTACTTCCTAAGTTACTGTTTCTGTGGGCTATATTTTTCTCACTGGTGCAGAAAGTACAGGGTGAGCTCAGGGTCTCCTTCAGAATCATAGTGATCCTTCTGTCTCAGCCTCCCAGTGCTGGGATTACAGACATGCACCACCACACCCTGTTTCTGTGGCCGGCACAGCCCGCCCAGGATTGTGGGGCCAGCACAGCATGTGGTAGCAGAGATCAAACCTGGGTCTTTGAGCTTGCGAAGCAGACGCGTAGACCCTAGCCCTAACCCCAGCCCAGAGTACTGAAGTTTATAAAATAACAATTTATATGTTTTCTTCAGGGCTGGGGAGATAGCTCAGTGGAATAAGTGCCTGCCTGGCAAGCACAGGGTCCTGAGTTCAACCCCCGGTACAGAAAAAAAAAAAAAAAAAGATACATTTTCTTCAAAGATACCTTTGTGGGGACTTAGCAGATTATAAGGAGAGCTGATAATGATTAGTTTATAATTCTGAGGAAACAGCCAGGAATTAGACGTTTTTAAATACACTAATTGCAACCCACCTACGAATAGGTTTAACTTACCCTAGCACCTAGGCAGCTGCATTTGTTTCTCAATACAGTTTTTTCAGTGGTGAAATGACCATACCAAAGCAGGTAAAATACCTCAAGTGGTGGGTCATTTCCTGAGGCCTTCACTGAAATTTGCTGTACGTGCTACTGAATAGAGAAAGGAAGGAATAACAGTGATCAGTTTAACTGATCCGCTTCCTGACTTGGGGGAGGACCAGGACTGTCTCTATCTTAAATACCCTCCCAGCGTATTACAGATGGTTTAAAAATAAGACCTAGGTCCGACCAGATAGCTCAGAGGACTAAAGCGCCTTCTTGGGCAGAGCGCAGCAGCTGGGTTCGATCCCTGGCATGCAGTGCCGGCCCTGCACCCCGAGGCATGCTGAGACAGTGACTGAGGCCGGGCATGGTGACGCATGCTTGTAATCCCAGCGCTTGGGAGGCTGAAAACAGGAAGATCACTACGAGCCCTATCTATGTAGTGAGACCCTGTAGAACCTGTGGTAAATACAGAAAATTAAGGGCCAGCCAAATAGCTCAGCGGATTAAAGCACCTGCAAGCAGGTGCAGGGGCCGCAGGTTTGATCCTCAGGCCTGCTGAGCCGGCCACCTTGTCTCCCTGAGACGGAGATTGAGGCGGCATGTGCCTTAATCCCAGCCTTTAGCAGGCTGTAATTAGGCAGATCGCTACGAATCCGGTCTAGTAGTAAGGCCCAGAACACACTGTAGACCCTTTCCAAAAAAATACAAAATAATAATAATAATAATAATAATAATAATAATAATAATAATAAAATTAAGTCTTAAGTGTTGCCTGGGTAAAGATGTCCATCTCCAACCGTCGACAGTCCCCTAAACATTCGAGGCAACACTGGCTGGAGAGGCTATATACTTTGTTGGGGGCGGATGCCATTAAAAGAGCTTTCAGAAACAAATACAGGTGAAAGAGTCCACCATTCGCCCAGCAGTCTCTTCTCTATACAGTTATTTTGAAAGCCAACACCCCATTGGGAAGCATGCCTTTGTTGTCATTTGGCTTGCAGAACTTAGAAGAGTCTACGCCTCTGTTGGAACATTAGAACAATTTAACTTCTGGAAACGACTTCACAGCTTGGAGCCTGGCAAAGCCTGTTTGGGATTAAATTGTCTATTAATTAAACTCAAATGATTTAAACATTCAACACCTAGCATTGCACCTCCCAGAAAACAGCAGCAGCAACATGCTGGGGGGTTGCCAGAGGGCTTTACTAGACGCCACGCGCGCACACGCACACGCACACACACTCGCGCGGGTGCAGGGGCTCAGGCTCGGCAGGCCCGGGGCCCCGCCATGGGGAGCCCGGTGGGCGCTGCGTCCCGCGCGTTGGCAGTTGGCGACCCCCCTCGCATCCCCCTCCGCCGCGGCTCGGTGGCCTGCGGAGGCTGGGAGTCGCCCGAATGTTTTCCATATTTGTTCAGCCTCGGTAACCCGAACGCCAGGGCCGGCGCAGCCCGCCCAGCGCCGCGCTCCAGGCCCCGCACCCCGCGGTCGGTCGCCATGGGCCGGGACAAGCGGCCCCGCGACCCGCAGAGGAGGCAGGGGGGGCCCCCGGGCGCGGACGCCGCCGGGCCCGACGACACGGGGCCGAAGACAGGCAAAGGGGCCCCCAAGGAGTGCGGGGAGGAGGAGGCCCGGACGTGCTGCGGCTGCCGGTTCCCGCTGCTGCTCGCCCTGCTGCAGCTGGCCCTGGGCATCTCCGTGACCGTGGTGGGCTTCCTCATGGCGAGCATCAGCTCCTCCCTGCTGCTCAGGGACACTCCGTTTTGGGCTGGGATCATTGTAAGCATCAAGTCTGTTTTGCCTAAATGCGTTTGCCACCCAGGAGTGCACAGCCGCTGCGTGGTCGGGCTGAGACTAACCCAGCTGCACGCGCCCTTCCCAGCTCCACGCCTCTAACGCGCGCGCTCTGGGGTGACCGTGGGGCTGCGCGGGGCTCCCGGGCCCAGGCTGCGCGCGGGGGACCGTGCCCTTCTGCTTGCTGCGCCCGGGCCTCCAGGGGGCCTGCCACTCCTGCGCTGGAGCTAGCGGGGACCTCAGCTGGAAGGCTGCGGACTGTGGTCCCACCGCACAGCCTGGGGAACACCAGCAGACTCACTTGGGTTCCTTCCTGATCCCTTTCCCGACCGCCCTTGCCCCTAAAAGAGCAGAAACCGGAGTAAGTTCATAGGCTGAAGGCAGATTAGAAGAAAAACTTGGAGTCGACCCACTGGGTCGTATTAGTTTTGTGAAATTGAGTCTATTAGTAGGTCCTATGAAATAATGTTCTAAGGCCAGAAATGGGAATACAGCAAGCCAGCTTTATTCCACTGGGGTCTAAAGCGGGATAAAGCCAGGGCGCTGGCCGCAGCAAAGGTCTATTTGGAACTTCTCTGCTAATGGATGTACTGTTCTGAGCAGAAGAACGCCCAGCTGTTAAGAGGATGAATGTTGAAACACTAGCGTACTTGGCTTCACTCGATGAATTCGTTCATGTTGAAGCGGTGCCATTTATTGAGTACCTACTGTGTGCCTCCCTTGGTGGAGGCTGATCAGATATCATTTCGAGTCCGCACGTCATCCTTGTGGGATACTTATTCTCATTTCTCAAATGGGAAAACTCAGGCAGGACTACTCCAGGTTCCTGAGAATGATCAAGGGCACCATGGGGTCCCTCTGTGATTTCCTCATTGGGCAACCCTTCCATTCCCTACATTTGGTTGACCATGTTAACGCCATATTGTATTACAGTGTTGTTGGCTTACTAAACTCTCAAGAGCATTGTATCATTGGACCCATGAAACTGTGCTTTCCTGGAGGGTTATTCCTCTTTGGACCTAAGGGAAGAAGCTCTAAAAGAAGATTCATGACATTCTCAAACCCAGACAGAGAGAGATGGGAGAGACTAGGCTTGACACCTTTGACAGCGAGTCTCATATGGTGTCATGACTGACCACAAGAGTTATAACTCATAAAACAACCCTCAAAATTTGAATCAGGGCAAACGTGAAAGACATCTGATAAATATGCATTAATGCAGGTATTTTCTAATTAAGATTATTTCAATCCACAAATGCTTGCAGAGTAATTTAAAACTTTTAATTTGTGTACTACGAAGTCCCATGAAATTATCATGATTGGAGTTTTCTAAATCAAGTAATTTTAAAAATAGCTTTTCACTAAGATATACTGAGTATTTTAGTCACCCCCATGTCTGCCGACATACTCAGGGGGAAAATGTCTGAGCTGCAAGGCTAGGCAAATTAGAAGAAAACAAGGAATGAAACTTTGGTTCAGTGTTTTTGAGTATCATTTTTTTAAATGTGTCTCCTAGCTTTTATTTCAACTTCAAAGAGCCCAGTACCAAGAAACAAATTGGATGGGTAGAAAAACCTATTTGAATGTTTAAGACATAACATACAAATAGTGCATAAACTAAAGCTCCCTGGGATATGATGTTCCTAATGGTCCAGGGTGTGACACAAGGAACATTATATATGGCCAGGTCTCTGTTCTTTCTGGTTTTCATTTTTATAATCTAGGCTCCATTTGAAGTTTGCTCACAGTGTGTTTCCCTGGTGATATCTATCATCTTGAAGTATGTTTTGACAGAGAATCTATATAGAACGGGGCAGCCAGCAGAGATGACCTGAAACTAGTGTGTGTGGGGGGATCTCAGGAACACTGTCCTCCCAGCATGTCGCTGCCTCACACAGACATTGTGCTTGCCCTTGCCATGCTGAATGTGGTTGGTCACAGGCACCCTTCTAAGTTTTCAGGAAAGAGAAATGTCAGAGAAAGAGATGGCGAAATGCAGATGTGTCATATTTGTGCTTGGTGTCGAACTCTAGCTTGGACATTATTTGCTGAATAACTTTGGGCCAGTTACTTAACTTCTCTAGACTTCTATTTCTTTCTAATGAGATCAGAAAAATAAGGGTTGTTCTGAGGATTAAGCAAATAAATATATAGAAAGCCCAGCTGATGGGACGCATGCAGTGAGTTGGCTCTTTTTATTCACAATGTCATCATGGGTAATGACATTCTTCAAAGCTAGAATAAATAGTTCTGTTTCAACAGTAGTTTTGCAGAACAGTCATTTTGGATTCATTGCATTTCCCCAGACTAGTTTGAACCTAGAACATATTAATTTGGCCATCTTAGTTCTCTCTGTTCTCAGTCAAGTTACTATTATCAATCTCAAAGGGAGTAGATTAGTGTAGTACTGTACTTTCTGGATTCCTCTGGAGTTTATAAAAATGATCTTGGAGAAGGGTCATTTTTTTTCCTGTAGGGTCCAAGGTGATTGTGGTTTCATATATCCTGCAGGGAATCCTAAGAAGTTTGCCCTGTACAGGAGACACATGGGACCAAAGCAGGACAGGTCATTCCATGGGGTGGGGACAGAGCCACACCCACTTCGGGAATGTGGACTGACTGATAAACCCACACCAGCTGCAACTTGGTGTGTGTTGCTCTTCTACTTGATGCTTATTCTGGTCACTTCTTACCATGTGACAGTCAGTTTAATTTTCCAATGGTGCTATCCCATTAATTTGGGATTTACATTTTCTTTATACAACCGGGATGTCTGAATAAATCCCTTAGCTGAGAAATTTCTTTCTGGTTGACCAGTGATTGGATGACTTGCTAAGTATTCAGTCTGCCTATAAACTAAAGAGACCCTTGGTGATTTATCATCAAAGGTTTCAGTCCAGTGAAATTTTAGGAAAATAGTCTTTTCTTTAACTTGTCCTCTGTGTTCACTTCTCCATTCACTATTGATCCAAGAGAGAACTGAGGTCTTTTTACTTCAGCTAGAAAAGATTACCCTAAAGAAAGAGGAAAAGAGAAAGAGGCTGCTGCAGAGATTGTGCATGTGTTCTTCTGTCAACATTCTTTATATATGGTTTGAGAGTTACGTCACAGCCCAATGACAATAGAAAGTGAGAAAGCATCTCTGAGATGGATTTGGCTAGGGACAAGGAACCCCAGGAGGTGAAGCTCAATCTGTATTTTTTCCCCCCCTGTGGCTTGAGCAGCTGGGTCAGATTGGCATTCAAGTGAGTTCTTCATTCCAGAACTCTTATTGATACAAACCACGTATAGATTAAAAGTATCTAAGAAGGGTGGGGACTTAACTTACTTTTTACTCAAATGAATACAGTTGTGGTTTAGGTACAGCATTACATGTTTAAACTTGGCTTATTTGTCTTCATTCAGTAACATTTGTCAAGAGTGTCCACAGTACTAAGCATTGGTATAAAAATAATGAGTCATGTACCTGCAGGAACTCTCCCGTTCTGATGGACATATGCCCTTATCATATCTGACAGTAATGAATACCACCCATTAGAAAATTTAACCTACACAAATATTTTAAAGCCCATTTACCTTTCAAAGTATTTCATTTGCAGTGATTTATTTGCCTTGGCATGGCTACACTGAAGTCGATTTCAGAGAGAACTTTCTTCTCCTCACCAGAGGGAGTTTGTTGGTGTCTTGGCCCTTGGGAGGAATGTTCCGGTAGAAAATGGGAATTCTTTGCCTTATTGTGCTGCCTAATTTTCTTTTGTTTCATCTGTCATTCCCCCACTTCCCATTGGAGTAAAAACCCAGAGATATAGCTATATTAATCATCTTATAAAGATTAAGGTAAAGGATTAAGCAAAAGGGAAGCATGGTTCCTTTACTTAATATCATTCATAAAACTCATCATATGATTATGTAATGATTAAAAGTCCTGTCAAGAATTTCAATAATATATGTTAATTTACTCTAAGAAATTCTGAATGCAGGTGTATTCAGATTTTTAAAAGCTATTTTAAGTTTTGACTTAATAGAAGGAAAACTTGAGCAGTTATTTACTTTGACACAGAATGTACTATTAAATTTGCAAGTATACCTATGCTGTGTAGCAAGTAGGATCAGATGTTGTCATTATCTATAACTTATAAATAGAAAAAGTAAGACAGTGATTTTGCAAAACGATTTGATAGTAATTATGGAAAGGAACTGGAAGGTGGAAAGGCTTGGCACTGAAGCTCTGTTAGACCCTTCGATAAGTCAAAAAACTTAACAGTGGAGTCGGTGTTCAATGTAGTGATTTTGACATTTGAAAAGTTAAATTATATTCTTAGAAACATACTGCCTACTAATTTGTTATTTCTTGTGTTGAGACTTTAATATGCTTCCAGATCTAATACAGCATCCCATATACCACTGGGAAACAATTTTTCTCACAGAAAGTATCCTTAGTCTGCTAAGAGGTGAGGAATGATAATCACATGGCCTGACTCAGCTTCCATTGGCTATGAATAATAGATGGTGGCAAGAAAATTATGTTAGGGGCCCATGAAGTTCTCGTAAGTCTAAAAATGGAACATAATTCACTTAATTGGCAAAAATTAGTTCAAGTATATGAAAATAAAAGGGAATATTCAAGAGTTTGGCAAAAGTTTCCCAAAAGAACTTCAGAAAGGAGTACTAAGAGTGAACAAAATCACTAGATGCACAAAATCATTGAACAAATCATGTTTCACCTCTTCAGTGTCAATTATATTATACAAAGGCCAAAGGAGTACTTGTATAATGAGAAAGCTATCCTTACACATCATTTCTGTCTTTAAAAAACAAGGAAGAGATGGGACAGATTCTGTTATGTTTAACTCCTATATTGTAGATGTATTCAGCTCTGAAAGTTAGCTTAGAAAGTTAATCTCTGGAAACTTCTGTGATTTCAACCATCATTTTTGGTTTCAATTTTTTCTAATAAGAATACTAGCACATGCATAGAATTTGGA